CATCCATCCATCCATCCATCCATCCATCCATCCATCCATCCATCCATCCATCCATCCATCCATCCATCCATCCATCCATCCGTTTCTGGTATATGGAGCCTTTAGCATGAGCTCCAGGAGAGAACCAGCAGATATGTGGTAAGAACATGTAGGATGACCTCATTAATGATCTTTGTTTAATGTCATGCAAACTTTTCCAGTTTACGTGGAGATGGATTCAATTATTTGATTTGTGGAGTTTGAAAATTGCTTTTCTTCCCGATGATGATGTGAAATGCTGTCGCTCATTAACCCTGTTTTCTAGATCCAAAAGGAAGGATTATCCTACGAAGTGGAGGAGAATCACCATGTGAAGGACATGTAGAGGCTTATTATGAGGATAAAAAGACCTATGTTGGAGATAAATACTGGAACGCTAGTGCAGAAGAAGTGGTGTGCCGTAGCACTCATTGTGGAAAACCGATAAGTTCCACAGATGTTTATAGACCTCTCAAAAGCAGAGTCGTGCTCAATGAACTGAAATGTCAGGGGAATGAAGCGAGTCTTTGGGACTGTCCCGGCTGGCCAGGTAGTGATGGCTTCAGTTTTTACAAGAAGCCCACAGTTAAAAAGATCAGTTGTTCAGGTAAGTCTTAAGTCTTAATTAAACAAAACAGCAGAAAGTCAATAAGTTTTTAAAAACCTTAACTTTACCTAACCCATTATTTGGTCTCTTAGATAAGATTGAGATCAAAAAACTACTGTTCCAATGCGAGGGAACGGTCCGGTACTCTGTTAACTCCAAAGATCATGGTTACATCTGCGAAGAGGAGTTTGGTAAGAGCTCCCCTGATCCTCACATAAATTCCAAAGCTGCTTCAAAGATGGTGTCATTCCACCTGGATGAACCACATATCTGATTGTTTTAGATCTAGGGGCCACTGTGACCCAATAGCCAACTGATATCTCTGTTTGACTCAGCGTATTGAAATTCAATTCAATTCAATTCAGTTTATTTATATAGCGCCAAATTCACAACACATGTCATCATGTCATTGAAACTGAACTCTTGTAATGTATTGTCTTTTATAGGAAAAATGGAGGCCGATATTTTGTGTAAACACATTGACTGTGGGGAGTGGGGAAAAATTCTACGGCCTGAAGAAATCCTTGAAACATCGAAAATGAAGTCGATAAACTGCGAAGGTATTGAAGATGTGACTCATCCTTGGCAGTGCGTAAAATCAGCACCCAAATCCTGCAAACGCGCTGCTAGGATCACATGTAAAGGTACCAATCAACACGTAGCACAGATTCAACTGTTATAATATGCTAACTGCAGAAAGTGATGAATCCACTTTGATGAAAACAGATCATAAAAGGATGCAGCTGAGAGGACACAACTCCAATGTTTGTTCTGGTCAACTGGAAAGGGAAAACGAGAATGGAGAGTGGATACCTGTCAACAGCAACAGCAGCAGCAGCAACAACACATCGGAACTGTGTTCCGACATGCACTGTGGTGCAAATGGATACTTCACCCACAGCGACAACGGCCTGCATCTAACCTGCTCAGGTAACTGAGCCCAACTTTAACAGAATCCCTTTCAGCTCTGGTTTCCGGATCTGGTCTTTTATTTGTTTATGTGTGGATTCAGGACTTTGGATCTTCTGTCACAATCTGTCATAAGTGCAATCTGTGTATCACACATTTTTCAATGTGAAACCAGGACAGAAAATACAACAAACTTTTCTTTCACATTTTGTTTCATGAAATAATATAGAAAAAACAGAGTACAGTTTAAAATCAATATTTGGTTATAGTGTTGACAAAACTGATAACAAGCAAATTACAGTA